ACTGTTACTTAGGCAGTCGTTCCCCAGCCTGTAACAGTGCTTGGGATTCTTCTGTCCCAAGTGCAAGACACTGCACTTGTCCTTGTTGAACCCCATCAGATTCCTTTTGGCCCAATCCTCCAATTTTTCTAGGTTACCCCGAACCCTATCTCTACCCTCCAGTGTATCTACCTCTCCCCGTAGCTTAGTGTCATCTGCAAACTTGCTGAGGATGAAGTCTATCCTCTCATCCAGGTCATTAAGAAAGATGTTGAACAAAATCAGCCCTACAACCGATTCTTGGGACACTCCACTTGAAACCAACCACCAACCAGACATCGAGCCATTGATCACTACCCATTGGATCCTACAATATAGCCAGCTTTCCATCCAACTTACAATCCATTTATCCAATCCCTTCTTCCTTAACTTGCTGGCAAAAATATTGTAAGAGACCATGTAAAAGCTTTGCTAAAGTCAAGGTATATCACATTCACTGACTTCCCCATATCCACAGAGCCAGTTACCTCATCATAGAAGCTAATCAGATTGATCAGGCATGACTTGCCCTTCGTGAATGCATGTTTACTCTTCCTGGTCACTTTCCCCTCTTTCTAGGGGTTCAAAATGGATTTATTGAGGATCCCCTCCATTATTTTTCCAGGGACTGAGGTAAGGCTGACTGGTCTATAGTTCCCTGGCTTTCCTTTTTTAAAGATGGGCACCACATTTACCTTTTTCAAATCATCCAGAATCTCTCTCGATTTCCACGAGTTTTCAAAGATAATAGCCAAAGGCTCTGCAATGACATTTGCCAACTCCCTCAGTACCTTTGGATGCATTAAATCTGGACCCATGGATTTGTGTATGTCTAGCTTTTCTAAATAGTTCTTAACCTGTTCTTTCTCCACTGAGGGCTGTCCACCTCCTTCCCATTCTGCGTTGCATAATGCAGTAGTCTGGGAGCTGACCTTGTCTGTGATTATGGGGGCAAAAAAAGAATTGAGTACTTCAGCTTTTCCCACATCATCTGTCGCTATGGCTACATCAAACTACGAGTTTTCTCATCAAAAAATATGCTAACGAGGGACTCATTTGCATGAATTGAGATCTCATTTGCATATTTTCTGCTAATCTGTTTTTGCTCTAGGGTTTTTGCGCAAAAGCAAGCAGTGTGGACGTTTTCTTTTTGCGCAAAACCCCCTTTTTCCGCAAGATCCAAAAAAGGGGGGTTTTGCACAAAAAGAAAATGTCCACACTGCTTGTTTTTGCGCAAAAACCCCAGCACAAAAATGGATTGGCAGAAAACATTCAAATGAGATTGTGACTCATGCAAATGAGTCCCTTATTAGCATATTTTTTGCCAAGAAAACTCATAGTGTAGACCTAGCCCAGGTTACTTCTCTCATCCAGTAAGGGACCCCCCCACACTCCTCTTATTGCTAACTTGCCAGTAGAAACCTTTCTTGTTACCCTTCACATCCCTTGCTAGCTGCAATTCCCATTGTGCTTTTGCCTTCCTGATTACTCCCCTGCATGCTCGAGCAATATATTTATACTCCTACCTAGTTATCTGTCCAAGTTTCTACAAGGACTTCCCTTGTAAGTCAATGTGATGGCCTACCATATTTGCTTTTCTTACTGCGCATCAGGATGTGTTTTTCCTGTGCCTTTAATAAGGCTTCTTTAAAATACTGCCAGCTATCCTGGACTTCTTTCCCGTTCATGTTACCATCCCAGGGAATCCTGCCCATCAGTTCTTTGAGGGAGTCAAAGTCCGCTTTTCTGAAGTCCAGGGTGTGTATTTTGCTGCTCTCCTTTCTTCCTTTTGTCAGGATGCTGAAATCTACCATCTCATGATCACTGCTGCCCAGGTTGCCACCCACATCTACTTCCCGTATTGGTGTCCTCCCTGTTTGTGAACAGCAGGTCAAGCTGCGCATGGCCCCTGGTTGGTTCCTTCAGCATTTGTACCAGGAAGTTATCCCCACCATTCTCCAAAAACGTCCTGGATTGTCTGTGTACTGCTGTATTGGTCTCCCAACAGATGTCAGGATGATTCAAGTCCCCCATGAGAAACAGGGCCTGTGATCTGGAAGCTTCTCTTAAGTTGTCTGAAGAAAGCTTCATCTGCCTCATCCACTTGATCTGGTGGTCTATCGCAGAAACCAACTACAACATTACCTCTGTTGCTCCCACCTCTAAACTTAATCCAAAGACTCTCAAGAGGCTTTTCTCCCTCTATATAATGGAACTCTGAGCAATCATAGTGCTCTCTTACATACAGGGCAACTCCTCCTCCTTTTCTCCCCTGCCTGTTGTTCCTGAACAGTTTATACCCTTCTATGGCAATGCTCCAGTCATGTGAGTCATCCCCCGAAATCTCCATTATTCCAATCAAATCATAGTTCTTTGACTGTGCCAGGGCTTCTAATACTTCCTGTTTATTTCCCAGGCTTCTTGCATTCGTGTACAAACACTTTAGATAACTATTTGATTGCCCTACCTTCTCCTTTTGAAACTCCTTTGTTGCTCCTTCCTCCTTGTATTTCTTCCTGGTATCCCACTTCCTCACTTACCTCAGGGCTTAGGTCACTGTCTTCCAACAAACCTAGTTTAAAGCCTACCTCACTAGGTTTGCAAGCCTGTCCACGAAGATGCTCTTTCCTGTCTTGGTTAGGTAGATTCCATCTCTTCCTAGCAATCCTTGGGCCTGGAACAGAGTTCCATGGTCAAAGAAACCAAAGCCCTCTTTCTGAAACCACCTGCGCAACCATCCATTTATTTCCACGATTCAATGATTCTTACCTTGACCTTTTCCTTCAATATGGAGGATGGATGAGAATATCACTTGCACTTCAAATTCCTTGATTCTTCTTCCCAGTGCTATATAATCTGCAGTGACCTGCTCAAGGTCATTCTTAGCCGTATCATTAGTTCCTATATGGAGATGCAGGAAGGGGTAGCGATCCGAAGGTTTGTTCAGTTTTGGAAGACTCTTGGTCACATCCTGAATTCTAGCTCCTGGTAAGAAGCACACTTCTCAAGATTTCAGATCTGGATGGCAGATGGATGACTGTCCCTCTTAGGATGGAGGTCTCTGACCACCACCACCTGTGGTCTTCTCTTGAGGATGGTGGTCGTGGAACCCCCCATCCTTAGGACTATGCATCCCATGCCTTTTGATTGATGGAGTTATCTTCTTATCCATTCCTTAGAGGTCTCTGCCAAAGCATTCTCCACTGTAGTGCCTGTCAGAGAGTCTGAAAGCAGTTACTTACTTCTAACAGAATCGGGGATACCTGAATTGGCTTTCTTCTCCTAGAGGTTACATGCTGCTGGTTTTATTCCTTATTCTGTACTTCCCTCACTAGTTCTTCAGCCTGATATGACTGCAATATTAAATGCTGCCTTCTGTCGAGGAAGTCTTCATCTTCTCCGATGGAACGTAGGGTTGATACTTGGGCCACAAGTTCTCTAATTTTTTCCTCTAAGATGGTGACCAGCTTACACTTAGTACAGATGAAATCCCTTCTATCTTCTGGAGGAAGACAAACATGGCACATGCTGAGTAGGTCACAACAGCTGACCTATCACTATCCATACTTGCCTTCCTGCAGAGAGATTCCTCAGGTGTTTATATTGCCCCTTGAAGGGTAGAAGAGAAATAAAATGCTAGAAAAAGACCACCAAACACTTACCTTCTCCAGGCACACTTTTTACAATCTATTGAAGTGTACGGTTTAAAAGACTGACAAGAAAGTTCATCTGTGAGTATTCGTTTCAAATAGTCACAGAGGTTTTGAGAGAGAATCTTTACCAGATGTTAATTTTAAGGTTCCAGTGAAAACACAGAATTGGACTAACATATTAGTTTTTGTTTTGTAAATTGCAAACTAGTGCTGTTTGTTTTGCTTCTTTTATAACATAAGGAAAAATGCTTTAAAGACAAAACTTTATTTAATCATGTTTAAGTATTATTCTTGTGTGTTAATGCAGTATTAAGGTTTTATAGCTGTTATTTTAATAAAAACCTTTCATGTTATTAAATATAGTATACATTAACAGAAAACTAGTCAGAACTAAATTTGTCAAAACTAGTCAGAACTAGTCGGAACCAAATACACTTCAGTTGCAACCCCCCACACTTATGGCCATTTTTGTAAGTGCAGAAGGGGCCAAAAACCCCCAACTTACGTCCTTGGCCTGCATTTACAAAGGCACATGGCGCCTATCGTAAATGCAGGTTCGAGTTATGATGCCCCCGACTTGCGACGCTATCCCAGGAACCGATCACGTCGCAAGTCGGGGGCAGCTTGTAGGTAATTTTTATAATGGCACTTTCTTAAAGCCATTCTTCAGTCTGTTCCTTGAGCAGCTAAAACAGTGATACACTGATATACATATGTATGCATTAAGATCAATGTGCATTTTAAAAAGTTAGTATATGTAGTTGAATGCATTTCAGAATCTTTGCTTTACTTTGTATTTCTAGCTGTAATAGTGCCACAAGAATATCTGTAGCTTTGATGGTAAACTGTGCTTCCACTCAAATGTTTGATGACTCATCAAACTGAATGGCATTCCTTGTATTGGCAGGAGGGTGGGGGGGGGAATACAGATTAATCTAAATAGATAGCAGCACTGCCTAACCATAAAACATTTGTAAGAGCTCAGAAATTAGTTGCACGTAGTGAGATGTATATTAAGTTTTAGTCTTACAGCATCTCTATACAGTGCTTTCTTTTTGTATCACCTAATCCAGTACAATTGAGGTCCAAGGGAATTTTGCCATTGATTCCAATGGGAACAGGATCTAGGACTTTTACTGAGTTGTCAATCTTTTTTCATTTAAATATATCATTTATATGGTAAAACTTGGTTGCTTTCATTACATGTATTGCCCCATTATAAAAAAGATTGTCGCTTGTAAATAAGGGATGTGAAAGTGAAATTGATATATTATCTTTTAAAAATTCTTTAGGACATCTGTACAGTTGTATCACATTTTACTTTTCAAGTTTGCTTGACAGGGTCAGTGCTGTTTGCCCATTTAATAAAGCTGGACAGCATCCTAGTCAGCATCTCATTGGTCTTCGGAAAGCTGTTTACCGATCTGTCAGAGCCAACTTTCGAGCTTCAAGATTAGCTACTCTGTACATGCTGAAAAAATATCCTTTTTGTAAAAACCCACAATTGCAGATACTTATGAATGAATTACCTATCCACAGAGACAGGACAGTTAATTGTCCTAATGAATAGCACTGGTATCAGGAGACTTATGGTATCTAGTTAAATATGTGCAAAAAGGAAAGGGGAGAGCTTCAGAGTTTCTTTTTTGAGTTGTGTTTGAGACAGCACATTGTTAAAATATTTGTTTTTGTCACTGCTCAATCTAAGATTAGTGTCCTCTGTTGTGTCTTACAAACATTTGTCCTTTGTGTGAATATTGATATGTATGTTTCGGTCCTTTCCCTTTCACTATTGCTGTTACCCGTCTTTATTTCCCTTCTTCGAAAAAAAACTTTCGTCTCGGCCACCTGCCCTCTCACTTTGTCTCTCCATTGCTATATGAAGTCTTCAGGTTAAAGGGTAAGTGATTTTTGTATTTCATGAACGTTGAATGGTATTGTTGCAACATTGGTTAGCCAAGAGACACACTCCTCAGAGAGGATTTTCTGCATCCAAAATCAAATGTGGCTCCTCTCACAATTGATTTCCAGAGCATAAAGTTGCAGTCCAATGAAAAAAATGGCACAAGGTTACTTGATGGAGATGTTATACTTGTGCCATAGTTGGGAAAATATCAGAAATGCCAATGTACTGCATTCAAAAATATGTGATAATATTTCTACTTCCCCAGAAAAATCACAAGCTTGGAAACAAATGCGCAAGATAATATTGTGAAAAAATTATCATTACTATGGATGCAAATACCCCTTAAAATGCTAACTGGTTAAACAAAATAATTTCATTCATTTAACCAGTTAACTAGAGTTCAGATAGCTCACGGAGTGCTCCTCAAGCTTGGCTCTCTGTGGGCAGTGGGGCTGTTCTGGGGATCAGGGCTGCATTGGGCTGGCTTCTCACCATGGGCAGTGGGGCTGCTTTGGCCAGGCATCAGGCAGGGGGCTGCTCCAGCGCAGCCTGGCCACTGGTTAACCCTTTACATCTCTAGTCATTACCAATTACTGTTACATTTTCCTGGAATGTATGGTTTGGCTAATATATGTGTGTCTGTCTGTGCAGCAGGTGTACTGATAGTCCAGTTCAGAAGACATAAGTGTTTGTGGATCATTTATCTGGTGATGTGAATCCTGCTTTTGTGCTCAAGACATCACTGATTCATATCCTGAGATAGCCCTCGAGAGTAGATTTATTTTCTGTGTATATGAAGGGAAATGAAAACATTCATATCCGGAGTGATTGAAACAATTTCATAAAAGTAACTTTGAATTCTGGATTGGATATAATCAAGAATTATCCAATATAGCCAGACTATCCAATAAGTTATTGGACTGCATTGAAGACAATTTTTATTTCAGAAAGTTGAAAAAGCTACTGGGGAGAAGCTGTTCTAGATTTGATTGTAACAAATAGGGAGGAACTGGTTGAGAATTTCAAAGTGGAAGGCAGCTTGGGTGAAAGTGATCATGAAATCATAGAGTTCATGATTCTAAGGAATGATAGAAAGGAAAACAGCAAAATAGAGACAATGGATTTCAGGAAGGCAGATTTTGATAAACTCAGAGAGCTGGTAAGTAAGGTCCCATGGGAAGCAAGACTAAGAGGAAAAACAACTGAAGAGAATTGACAGTTTTCCAAAGGGACATATTAAGGGTGCAAAAGCAAACTTTTCTGCTGCATAGGAAAGATAGAAAGTATGGCAAAAGACCCCCTAGACTTAACCAGGAGATCTTGCATGATCTCAAAATCAAAAAGGAGTCATGTAAAAAGTGGAAACTAGGACAAATTACAAAGGATGAATATAAGCAAACAATACACGTATGCAGGGGCAAGATTAGAAAGGCAAAGGCACAAAATTAGCTCAAACTAACTAGAAACATAAAGGGTAACAGGAAGACATTCTATAAATATAATTAGAAGCAAGAGGAAGACCAAGGACAGGGGAGGCCCACTGCTCAGTGAGGAGGGAGAAACAGGAAACTTGGAAATGGCAGAGGTGCTTAATGCCTTATTTGTTTCAGTCTTCACCAAGAAGTCTGATGATGACAGAATACCTAACATAGTGAATGCTAGTGGAAATGTGGTAGGTTTAGAAGATAAAATAAAAAACAAGTTAAAAATTACTTAGAAAAGTTAGATGTCTGCAAGTCACCAGGGCCTGATGAAATGCATCCTAGAATACTCAAGGAGCTGATACAGGAGGTATCTGAGCCTTTAGCTATCATCTTTGAAACAAAAAGCCCACAAAAAAAAAAAAAAAAAAAAAAAAAAAAAGAACAACCCAGGAAACTACAGACCAGTCAGTTTAACTTCTGTACCAGGAAAGATAAGGGAGCAAGTAATTAAGGATTTAATCTGCAAACATCTGGAAGAAAATAAGGTCATAGGTAATAGCCACCATGGATTTGTAAAGAACAAAGCATGTCAAACGAATCTGATAGCTTTCTTCGATAGGATAACAAGTCTTGTGGATAAGGGAGAAGCGGTGAACATGGTATACCAAGACTTTAGAAAGGCATTTGATAGAGTCTTGCATGACCTTCTTATCAATAAACTAGGCAAATACAACTTAGATGGAGCAACTCTAAGGTTGGTGCATAACTGGCTGGATTACCGTTCTCAGAGAGTAGTTATTAACAGTCACAATCATGCTGGGAGGGCATAATAAGTGGGGTTCTGCAGGGGTCTGTTTTGGGACTGGTTCTGTTAAATATCTTCATCAACGATTTAGATATTGGCTTAGAGACTACGCTTATTAAGTTTGCAGATGATACCAAGCTGGGAGGGGTTGCAGCTGCTTTAGAGGATGGGGTCATAATTCAAAGTGATCTGGACAAACTAGAGAAATGGTCTGAGGTAAATAGGATGATGTTTAATAAGGACAAATGCAAAGTGCTCCACTTAGGAAGGAACAATCTATTTCACACACATGGAATGGGAATTGACTGTCTATGGAATGGGAAGGAGTACAGGCAGTCCCCGGGTTACATACAAGATAGGGACTGTAGGTTTGTTCTTAAGTTGAATTTGTATGTACGTCGGAACTGGTACATATTGTAGGGGAAACTCTAGCCAAACATTTCTCCAGAGCTCAGTTTTATTCTCCCACACCTCACTTCCCTCAGTCCTTTATTCTCAAGCTGAGGTGTCTGCTGAGAAAAGTCGCTCCGCGTCTCCCTGGTCTGCTGGGGGGAAGCAGCTAGTGCGGGGTTGCCTCACCCCGTTTGTAAGTAGGGATCCGATGTAAGTCGGATCCATGTAACCCGGGGACTGCCTGTACTGCAGAAAGGGATCTAGGGGTCATAGTAGACCACAAGCTAAATATGAGTCAACAGTGTGACTCTGTTGCAAAAAAAGCAAGCATGATTCTGGAATGCATTAACAGGAGTGTTGTGAGTAAGACACGAGAAGTCATACTTCCACTCTACTCTGCAGTGATTAGGCCTCAATTGGAGTATTGTGTCCAGTTCTGGGCACCACATTTCAAGAAAGATTTGAGGAAGGTCCATAGAAAAGCAACAAAAATGATTAAAGGTCTAGAGAACATGACTTATGAGGGAATGGGGATGTTAAGGACTAGTCAGCTATCCGATAAGCAAATGCTTATTGAATAGTCGGTCAGCTAGTCAACTCCCTCCCTCCCCCTTGCTGCCTTTATCAGATAGAGGCAGAAAAGGTGGGGGACAGAGGGTACTTCAAAGCTGTAGCGCTGTACAGCTGAGCTCAAGATCAGCTGTGCAGCGCTGTCACTTAGAAATGCCCAGGCGGCATTCAAAGCAGCAGCCCCGCACAGCTGAGCTGGAGATCAGCTGTGTGGCTGGCCCTTTCAAATGCTGAGGCATTATTCAAAGGGGCAGCACCACACAGCTGATCCCCAGCTTAGCTGTGTGGCACTGTCCCTTTGAAATGCTGCCTCGGTTGTGCAGCTGCCCCTCTGAAACTCCGAGGCGGCGTTCAAAGGGGCAGTGTTAAAAAGGGCTGCGCCTCAGGGTTTCAAAGCAGCAGCACTGCACAGCTTAGCCTTGGATCAGTTGTGTGGTGCTGCCGCGTGTGGAGCCAGAGGTCAGCTGGGGACTCCCCAGCTGATCCCGGGCTCCAGCGTGGCATTTCTGTGGAACCCGGGATCAGATGGCGAATCCCCAGCTGACCCCAGGTTCTGGGGAAATGCCGTGCGGAGCCTGGGATCAAATCAGCAGCGCAGCATAGAGCCCAGGGTCAGCAGGGGACTCTGAGTCTCCTTTGTTCATTTCAAAGCTGGTACACCACATGCAGCCTGGAATCTTCCTGGTGGCCCTGGGTTGCATGTGGAGTTCCGCATTCCTCCTTTGAAATGTACAAGAGCCCCAGTGCGGGCTCTTGTGCATTTCAAAGTGGCAGCACGACATGGAGCCAGCAGGCCCAGACAAAGCAGGTACTCTTAACTCCATTGGATGTCCATCTGTCTCCACATCACACTATTCCCCATCAACAAGATGCTCACACAACGACAGAGCCAATTACAACACCCAAACTTCTAGATGCTTCAGTTCAAGCCATGGATCCTGTCTGGCTCTTGGAAACTGAACTATAATATTAGAGTGCATCTGTCTGTATGTCTGTCTTTCTGAGTCTGTTTGTAGAAGAACTCCTCCTAAATGGTAAGAGCTAGGGCCACCAAATTTGTTATGCAGCTTCCTCGGTGTTTGGTTGTGCCATGACAACTGGAAGCCCTGGGAAAGGAACTGTTTTCCGTAACATGCAAAGGGAGTGTCTGTTCTGATGGATGCAATAATGAGATAGGCCACTGAGGAGCAGGGAGCCTGCAGGGGAGAGCTATCCTGCCATGTGAGCACTTGGGGCAGCCATATCACCAAGGTAGTGGCCCGAAGGGCTGAGGCTCCGCCATATTGCCTGCCAGCGCACCAGGTAAGTAGCCCCCACCCCAAATCCTTCCTCATTCTGACTCCCTCTCTCCGCCCTAGGTTGCAGCTCCAAATGAAGGGGG